TGATATACAACATTATTTTTGCCATTTATTCTTCTGCTGCTATTATCCAGACAGTTCATTTTGTTGCAGAAAAAGCAGCAGAGACAGACTACTGTCAAAGACTACTGAAAGCAAGAAGATTGCCCAAAAATATGTCATTATTGTTATGCCTTTCCACCACCAATTAAATTTGAGAGATCCACATGTTTCCTCCATTCATTAGATCAGTGTTTCTCAGTCTCAGCATCTTGAAGATGATTGGACTTCAACTCCAAGAATTTCCTAGCCAGCCTGAAGTCTATCCATCTTCAAAGAGCTTTGCATTAGATTAAAGGAAATTGATCTAATCCTAACTCTAAACATCTACCTGATTATCAGGTTAATACCCCAGAGTTTTGAGAGTATATTCAAATTGTGAAACATTCCTCCCTCCCTCCAGATCTTTCTCTCCCCTCCCTCTCTCTCTCTCTCTCTCTCACACACACAAATACACACATAAACACACACACACAAACATCTATCTATCTGTCTATCTGTCTATCTATCTATCTATCTATCTATCTATCTATCTATCTATCTATCTATCTATCTATCTATCTATCTATCTATCTATCTATCTATCTATTTAGCTATCTAGCTAGCTAATCATCAACTGAGAAGGTAACCTACCTCCCCCACTTCAAACCCTTGTTTTTAGTTTGTATTAATTTTTGAAATTTTAATCCATTTTATATTGATAACTGTTATTATATGTTGTTTTATCTTGATGTAAGCTTCTCACAATTGCCTGAACTATGAGATGGGTGGCAAATGAACTTGACAAATAAATAAATATGGTTTATATGGCTGTCCATCACAAGTTCCTGATACCGGATGGCTAACAATGTTAAAAAATATAAACACATAAAAACCCCCAGAAAAACAAAAAACACACAATAAAACAGACCTATCAGCCTCAAAATAACAACAAATGTACAGGCCCAGCCCCACTTCCAGACCCTCAGCCCCAATGATACAAATAAATATCAATTTCCAGGCACTATCTGAGCTGTTGAGTTTAATTTCTAAAATTCTGAATAGCTTAGGGCTAAGTCATTTGATGGACTACCTATGAACCTATCCATGTATTGGCACAAGAAGTTCTCTTAAAGATACCCATACTTTTCTTCAGTATATGGGAGATGCTACTTTCGGGGTTACACTCAAACTAGAGAAGTCTCCCTTGGAAGTTGCAATTACCTTTAGTAAAACTTTGGGTTAAAATGTTCAATAGGCATAATTATTCTCCAATGTAGCAATTCCCACATCTCTCTATGCATGTACATTTATGTTGTTCATATATGTACACAATAAGCATACACTGTATACATATAGAGGATTTAGTAACATTAAAATCTATCTCTCTATATAAAGCTTCCATTAGATATTTCACATTAGAATATTTAAATTCTGTAACGAATAGCAGCATTCTGCACAAAACAGATACAGGATAAAATAAAAACCCATATTTACAATAATGGCTTATTGAACAAGCTATAAGTTAGATATTTTATAGAATGTTGTCCTTAAGAAGGCATACTGTATCAATTTTTATGATTGTCCTAATTTACCAATGTTTCCTATATTGGGAAGATAAAACAATAGGCTAAATGAACTATCTATGAGTGTGATCATAATGAAAACTCATATCCTTTTAATCCCCAGACTAATTAGCAAAGATAGTCTCACCTCTGTGAAGAGATAAATTAGCCTTCCATCTCTTAATTTGTCCACTGCTTCATCACTTGGGACAAACACAGTAAAAGGTCCAGGACCGTCCAAAATTGATGGAAGACCACAATTCTGCAAAATATTAAGTCCATGGCCATTAGATAACTTTAGTGTAAAATGATTAATTAACAAAACCAACATTTCTAGGTGTAAATTATACTAAGCAGCTAAATAATTCAAACCAATTATACTCAGCATTCCTGATAAAGTTCCAATTCAGCCAAAGTATTAAAATAGTCAAATGCTTTATGTAGCTCACTAAGGATTACTGATTTCATCAAGATTTGGTGTGAAGTTGAAATTTCATTTAGTTGAAAATGATCCAATGACAGATCAATTCAAATGTTCCTGAGTAAAATTTTGCACATAGACAATGGATAGGAAGACCATTTGAAGAAAAGGAATCCTGATCCTGTTTCTTGTGTAAAGAAAGGATGGATTTCTTACAGTCCAAAAGCAACATTATGGAAATGAATAAATTCTTCATGGGTTTTACTAATATTTTAATGATATTTATCATCTATTATAGTTAATCATTTGTTTGATCTCTTAAAAGGGAACATTTATTCTGTATCCTACTGTGGGTCATGAAAATATTAAATGTTCAAAATGCAACACCTGCTATTTTTCTGACAAAAAAAGAAGCGGCAATATCAGCATTCATTTTATCCCATCTGAATATGGGAGAGATACTCACTTCTAATATAGTTTCAAATCGGATGGAAATATCCATGGAAGCAAGCATTTCGGCAATTGTTTTCTGCAAAAACAGATGGACTAGAATGAGTTTGAAACAGTGTAGTTATGAAATATGTAAGTGCAAACAAATAATGACACATCTCTCTCCTCTTTCTACTCTGTGCCATCACTACTGTACAGAAAACCTTTGAGCTGTATTCCCAATGTTTTCCCTTCCATTGAGTTCAGTAGAACTTGCTCCTTAGCAACTAAGATGACAGCACAATCTAAGTTACTAAATATACACATCTATGCATGTGAAGCATTTGCATCCTGCATTCTAAATATCCTAAATTCAGGCAGCTTTCAAGATATGAACCAACACAGAGGATCTCAACCATAGTTCACCACAGGAGAAAAATCTACCAGAAATCATGGAGGTAAAATAAATATGGTGCTATAATAACCTTTTGTATATACCAGTGGTGGCGAACCTATGGCACGGGTGCCAGAGGCGGCACTCGGAGCCCTCTCTGTGGGCACACGTGCCGTTGCCCCAGCCTTGCCTCCCCCCACAACCCCCTCCTCTCCCTGAAGGAGAGTAGCCCTCGAGTGTGGCCCACATGGAGCAGCGCAGCCAAGGACAGGGCAGCCAGGCAGCGTAGACAAGACTCTGTCCTCACATCCCATCATGCAGTTGATGCTGCAGGATGCGGGCAGAGGGTGTGCATAGCGCTGCTGGGCTGCCTGGGTGATCTGCGGCAGGCCCTGGAGGCGGTGAGTGGTCCTGTGGGCAGGCGGGGTGGGGGATGGGAGGGCAGAGCGGGGGCGGAGCAGGGAGGTAGAGCGGGGCGCGGTCAGTTTTTGGGCACTCGGTCTCTAAAAGGTTCGCCATCACTGGTATATACTCAGTTTCCTGTTTTGCCAATGTCTTTTAAAAAGATAGACTAAATATTTTTTTTTTTTTAAAAAACTGATACAAGAAGAAACAACTGATTGTTCTCTGCAAATATTGTACATTTAGGCTTCATGGCGATTGTCTGGAAATACTTAGAGGAATTGATCCAGCAAAAAGTAATATAAGATTGCTCTATTTCTATATGCCCAAGTGTTTTTAAAGATGAGTTAAAAGAGATGCAAAGGGATATTAAATCAACTTGGTTTGTCCATGATGGCTCCTTAGCAACAATGCAAAGTGGTTTTGCCATCATCTTCTTCTGGGTGTTTTTTTAACTTCCCGGTAGAGTTAGTTGAGAAAAATCTTGACATTTTAAATAAAGGATAAGTCAATATAGGAAATATAAGGAAATATAGTTCCCAGATATCTTCCATGGTTCCCATTGTGTCCAGCAAGGTTTCTTTCCAGCATGGAGTTTCTTTCAATTATAGAGTTATTTAGGAAGTTGTATGCTGCACAACAAAGCAGTAACTTCTAATGCCATATTTAGTGCCTTTTGGTCTCAAGAAGATGGCAGAGAACATTGTGAAATGGCTAACATTTTATGAGTTTACCCATTACATTGTCCCAACATTCCAAATCTTCCCAGGACCATTTATTAGTTTGGGAAAATGGGAGGAAATAATATTTTAAGTGATATATGCTTCCTGCTATATCTAATATTATGCAGTAGGGGTTGTGTGGAACTTTATAGTGTCAAACCATTCACACCAATCCAGTGCTATAAAAAAGTGCTACTAGAAAGGCTTTAGATAATGGGTGTCCAACTTTTGGCTTGCCTGGGTCATGCTGAGTGTAGAGAAATTGTTGTTGGGCCACATATAAAACATAGTTAACATATATAAATAAATTTCCTTCATTTTTAAAATATTTTTATTATATCTTTTGGGGCCACATTACCAGCTATCCAGACCACATGCGAATTGGACATGTCTGTTTTAGATTGATTCTAGGTTAGAAATACAATTGTGGCCTACACTTAAAAGCTAGTTTGTTTAAGGAATTATCCCCATATACTGCCTATGACTCTGTTTTCATAAGGAAAAAGAACATTCACCATACCTGATCATTATCAAAGTTGTCCATGATGTTTATTTTCCTTATTTCGTCACCAAAATGCATAATACCATTAACTGCTGGCACATCGGAGTCAGAGATGGAATTGATTTCGTCTGGAGTATCTAAGTACCTATACTTGATATGGCGCTGCAGCTGGAGAGCAATACAAGGTTTTTCTATGGTAAATATTCCTCTACGATTACATTTTATTATTGCTTTGACATTTTATTGCAATTGTTAATACTTGTAAATGCAGTTATTGTTCTTGAATTGCAGAGTGCAGTTGGGCTTTAGATCAGGATTTAGGTTGGAGATGGCATTCGTCATTTGTACTGATGGTGGAAGAGGGGCAAGCGTGGTGCATCCATTCTTGTGCTGCTTGACTCTCAGCAACTTTTGATACTGTCAACCATGATTTCCTTTAGGACTAGCTTCAGTGGAGAATGGAGGCACTGTTTTACACTGGTTATCCTCCTCCTTCTCTGTGCCTGCTTTCAATCAGTTATGACAGGCAGGGAGAGATTGCACCCAGGGCCCCTCACTTTGGGGTTGCTGCAGAGTTGAGTTCTCTATCCCCTTTTGTTTAACACCTCCATGAGACTGCTGGGATTGGGGTCAGGATCACCAATATATAAATGATAGCCAGTTGTATATTTCAGTCCCTGGCTTTCCAGCAACATCCTAATCCAGTGCTCGGAGGCTGCACAGGTTGGAATGGGAAGGAACAGGCTTTGTCCCTCTCCCAGATCTGGAGCTATTTTATTATTGACTCTTATCTGAGACTGCTGTACAATCTACAGGGCCATCTTGTACTCTCCTGCTCACAAAGCAGATAGAGGAGGTGGCTTTTGCAGAGCCACATCTTATATATCAATGGATCATATAGTAATTCATGCCCTAATCACTACACTACTGGGCTCTGGATGTTCTGAGATAGGCCCATAATCTGTCCAACTCTCAAGCCCCCTCAGACCCTAATCCTAGAGAAGACAGACTGAACTCAGCAATGGAGTCAAGGAGCTCAGGAAGGCTAGTACAACAACAACAATCCCAAATGATTCCTAGAGCCCGACCTAATGAATGGAATCTCACATCTGGTGACTTATGGAACAGTGCCCTTGAAAACCATAAAAGATTTCCAGATGACAATCTCCAGATATCCACCTCTGCCCTGGGACTTTGGCTGATGCCACCTCTGAAACCCACCTGGAATATCTCTGAAATGGCTACCCTCCCCCCCCCTCCACAGAACAGGCTCCCAGATATAATATAATGTTTGAATTAAATCAATGAAATATAATTGTGATATTGAGTATAATAATTGTAAAGGAAAACATTAGATACCTTTCCTTGGGCTATTTAAAACTGACCTAAAATTTCACAAAGGAAGGAAGGAAGGAAGGAAGGAAGGAAGGAAGGAAGGAAGGAAGGAAGGAAGGAAGGAAGGAAGGAAGGAAGGAAGGAAGGAAGGAAGGAAGGAAGGAAGGAAGGAAGGAAGGAAGGAAGATAGATCTTGGGCTTCCTAACAATAATGCTGAGGAAATTGTAGTCCTCCAACTTGTATTTTGAACTATAGCTTTATTTGTAGAATCTCAGGTCTGTAAAAAATATTTACCTTTTCATGAAATTCCACTTTATGTCCAGATAATGTCCAAAAATACTGAGTGTCACGCATTTCTTTTATCAAGTGCTGCCCAGCTATTATATGCCTCCTGCAGAATTCCTGTGCATATCTGACCTTCATGGAGAAGAGATATAAAAATAAAAAATCATTACTCTGTATGCAGCAAGCCGAGTATAATATTTTTAATTTCACTGTACAAAAATGTACTAATATGTAATGTTCCATATCAGTTTTGTAAAGATATCAAGCACTTTATCCAAAATTAGACCAAATAACGTACAATGACATATATTGGCTCATTTTTCTATTTTTTTACTCTCCTTTAATTCATTATTTTATTTCTTTTTAAAATAACACATGTAGATGATACATTACCTGACAACTGCATTTGAAAGTTTTTTTTATGGTACTATCCTTTTTTTTCTTTAGATGAGTTTTGAGGTCACTTTTAAAATAATAAAATATAATCACTGTGAATCTCTAGCATATATAAAATATGACTGAGAGAGCCATCCTATACATTAGCATTTCTGAAAGTGTTGTGACCCCTGGCAGGGCAGCGTCACAAGACATTGGATGGAGATTCACCTTACAAATGAAGGCAAATATACGTGTCCCAGGAAAATGATGCAAGATTGAATCTGGATTGGTCACCGGAACTAGAGATTTACTCTTCCAAGCTTTTGGATTCATGCTAGAGCCCATCTTTAGGGAACTTCTCTCTATTGGAATACATGCTTTGGGCTATTCTGTGAGTCATGTTTTTGTGGTACCTGCCTATTGGCTGATTGGTGTGTTGATGGCTGACAATTGGCTGTGGTTTCCTTTTGCTGTCAAGTTCTTACGTACCTGATAAGCTACTTATCAGCACTCCTGCTAACTGACAAGGGGCCCATTTCCCAGGCTTCAATAATTTCCCTGGCTATTTTTGTGCCTGCATGGCCAACAATCTTAATAGCTGCAAAATTAAATGTGTGTCCTTGTTCATTGTAATGTGAGGCTACCAATGAGTTCGAATCTCCTTGTCTGATTGCTTACTTGTGTTCTTGCAGTCTGGTGGTTAACTTCTTCCTGTTTGTCCTACATACTCACAGGGGCAATCCAAGCAGGGGATCCAGTAGATTACATTGGAAATATCTCCCACCTCCAAACAATCTTTATAATAATAATGATGATGATAAAGTTGGAAGGGACCTTGGAGGTCATCTAGTCCAACCCCCTGCTCAGGCAAGAAACCCTATACCATTTTGGACAAATGGCTGTCCAGTTTCTTCTTAAAAACTTCCAGTGTTGGTGCATTCACCGCTTCTGGAGGCAGGTTGTTCCACTGGTTAATTGTTCTAACTGTCAGGAAGTTTCTCCTTAGTTCTAGGTTGCTTCTCTCTTTGTTAAACTAGACATACCCAATTCCAGCAACCGTTCCTTATATGTTTTAGCCTCCAGTCCCCTAATCATCTTTGTTGCTCTTCTCTGTACTCTTTCTAGAGTCTCAACATCTTTTTTACATCGTGGTGACCAAAACTGGATGCAGTATTCCAAGTGTGGCCTTACCAGGGCATTATAAAGTGGTATTAATACTTCACGTGATCTGGATTCTATCCCTCTGTTAATGCAGCCTAGCACTGAATGAACAATGAACAATTTGTCCTTGTATGCAGGCATCTTGTATGCTTATGCTTGAATTGTTCATGTAGGTACCTTCTCTCCAATTATTTAGCTTCCTGGGTATTACAGTGGGTTCTCACTCTGCCATATACTGTAGTGTTCTGACACAGTTCTTTTTGTGTCACAGTGGATGGTTACTGTTGAAACTAAGAATGTGTGCAGTGTTGGTGGCCTTATGACAAACTGTGGTTTCTAGGCTTCACCTTCTTTGCAAGTTCTGCAAATAATTATCCCTCTATCTCTCCCTTCCCCTCCATTGTAATTGTCTCTGAAAAACAAATGCAGTGAGTAAAAATACCAAATGAAAAGAGCACAAAGCTTTATGGAACTGATAATCCTGCTCAAGAAGGACTGTGGTAGTTTTACTTCAGACACAAATACCAGGAGTAATAAAGTAATAAGAGGTAAGAGTACTTACACTGATGTGAAATGGAGGAAAGATGGATCCAGTAGGCACAAGTACCGTGAAAGGCCCATAGTTCTCCAGGAGTAATGAACAACCCTTACCTGTTAAAAAATCCATACCACATATTCATTTTAAAAAAACCTTGAATATCATAAATAATCATACATATTACTGGAAGCATTTTCCTTAACAGAATATATGTCCTATTTGCAATGCCTTCAGCTAGATGTTGAGGTTGAAGTTTTTATGAAGACATCTTCATTATATTTCTGCTTCTATCCCCTACTTGGGCAACTCTGAACTGGATTGAGAGGTTGAGGGAGACAATACCCTCTTCCTCAATACCCTACAATATTTTCCCAATCAACACTGGTCACCCAGCTGCTACTTGCCAGACCAGGAAACATATGCAAGTACTTACCTATTTTCCACCAAAAGGGAAGCAAGATAGAGCATATACTTAATTTCTCATTTTAATATGTAAGTCTACTATATTCATAGTTAGAAAAGTCTTTTAGGTATATTTGGAATCTGTATTGAATTTAGTTTATTAATATAATATTGAAGTATGTCTAGCATTTACATCCATCCCAAAAGGAAAGAAAAACCCACCAATTTTTTTTAGCATCCTTAGATATCAAGGCTTCTTTTTAAAGACAATAAAAAAATAAAAGTTAGGAGACCTAGCTAACAAGCTAATTTAATCGATGCTGCTACCCTTTAAGTAAACACATCTGCCATGAGTATAGTACGATTCTTCCCACTTACAATAACAATATGTATTCAAAGAAATCAACCTGAAACAACTAGAATATTTTTTAATAATAATAATAATAATAATAATAATAATAATAATAATAATAATAATAATAATAATAATAATAATAATAATAGTAGTAGTAGTAGTAGTAGTAGTAGTAGTAGTCCTTAGTAAGGACTCCATAGGTAGACAAAAATGCCAAATCCAGTCTGAACATCTGGCTGACTGTGCAATGAATAATAATAATAATAATAATAATAATAATAATAATAATAATAATAATAATAATAATAATAATAATAATAATAATAATAATAATAATAATAATAAAGTTGGAAGGGACCTTGGAGGTCATCTAGTCCAACCCCCTGCTCAGGCAGGAAACACTATACCATTTTGGACAAATAGCTGTCCAGTCTCTTCTTAAAAACTTCCAGTGTTAGAGCATTCACCGCTTCTGGAGGCAGGTTGTTCCACTGGTTAATTGTTCTAACTGTCAGGAAGTTTCTCCTTAGTTCTAGGCTGCTTCTCTCCTTGATTAGTTTCCATCCGTTGCTTCTTGTCCTGCCTCCAGGCGCTTTGGAAAATAGCTTGACTCCCTCTTCTTTGTGGCAACCCCTGAGATATTGGAACATGTCCCCTCTCGTCCTTCTCTTCGTTAAACTAGACACCAATTATTTTCTACCAGATTGCAGTTATGTATAGTTAAATTCACTCAGAAAAGAAAGTTACCAAATATTGCCAGTGCACCATTCAGATAATTTTGATATGATCCTCTTTTATTTTTCTTAATGAGTTCACTCAGGAGAGTTTTGTAACAGGAACCTCCAGCTTCAATTTCTCCCTTTTGGCAGATGCAGCTGAACAAAAGAGGGTAATACAAGATGAGATTTGGGCAACTGCCCCATTATTAAGTGTTTCACAGCCAATTCACATTAATTTAGGAATTATTTAGCAGCTACAGTTTTACTCCTTTATTAAAGGGAACACCAGAAAATAGAGACTTATTCAAATATTTACATCCAGAGATTCAGATCTGTCACTTCAATTAATATAGGGATAGTTTGAAAAAGAAACAACAAAATTCTCAGTTGCAAATGACATCAATAATATCAAGATCATTCTGGGCATGTACAGGTAGTCATCAACTTACAACCATTCATTTAGTGACCAATCAAAGTTACAAGTTACTGAAAAAATTGAGTTACGATCGTTTTTCATACTTACGACTATTGCATCTTCATGGTCACATGATCAAAATTCAGATGCTTGGCAGCTGACTCACATTTATGATGGTTGCAGTGTCAGGGGGTCATATGATCACCTTTTGTGACCTTCTGACAAGCACAATCAATCGGGAAGCCAGATTGATTTAACAAAGTGTTACTAACTGCAGTGATTCATTTACTAACTGTGGCAAGAAAGGTTGTAACATGAGGCAAAACTCACTTAACAATTGTCTTGCTTAGCAATATAAATTTTGGGCTTAGTTGTAGTCATAAGTCAAGGATTACCTGTAGTGACAAAAGGCTTGGAAAATACCAATATCAACCTTCCTCAATTGTGCCACCCTGATCACGTTAAGCTTTGAATCCAGTGTTGTTTGAGCATTGCAGGAGTAAAAGTCCAACATATCTGAGTATCATATTGGGGAAGGCGGCCCTACTTCCTATCTGAATTTGTCAAATGTCCTAGGTCAGGGGTAGGCAACCTTGGCTCTTTTATGACTCGTGGGCTTCAACTCCCAGAATTCCTGAGCCAGCACCGCTGGCTCAGGAATTCTGGGAGTTGAAGTCCACGAGTCATAAAAGAGCCAAGGTTGCCTACCCCTGTCCTAGGTGAACCAGTGTTTCTTTTCTTTCTTACGCCTACATATGTAAAATGAGACGTTAATAATATTGGCATTCCATGCTGGGAAAGATGCAATCTCTGAACATCAATTTTATGGAAAAATGTAATTTTAGTAAAACCTGAAATAGCAGAGTGGAGTTTATTTGGTATCTAAAAACGCAGGTTAGAAGGAGGGTAATACAATGCTCAAGATGGCTGACTGCCACTGGATTTGCATACAATTCCAAGAAAAGCATATGGTTTTCAAAACATTTCCAAGACAATGATTACTCACTGTAAAAGTGGGTACTACTGAGACTCACAACTAAAGAAGGGCATAATTGAGCTAGTCTTCAAAGGAGAAGCACCATTCTTCTCTTGCAGTCTAGTGGATCTCAATGAGGCTTGAATGAAGTTGCCACTTGAACAATTTTGCTCCGCATAATGACCATAGAAAGGCTAAAATAGAAAAATGCCTTTCTCAAGGAGAAACATTGCAGACTGCCTTCCATGTATTGGCTTCTAATATTGGAAATTAAGACTTCCTTTCTTTCAGATTTTCATTAATAGAGGATCAGCAGCTTTCCAGTACAAGCTACCAAAGCCTGCTGCTTTCAATAAATAATAGATACATTTTAGGAATGTTGATGTATTTGCAGCTATTGCCATATTGTATCAAGCATATAATTTGAGTAAGTTTACAGTGGGGATTCCCAAGTCTAAAATAGCTGCCATCAATATTCATCTGTGTTCAAAAAATACCCCCTTCTATTTTTGGATATTTTTCCAATATACTGATTTGTTTTATTTGTAATTTGAAAACATATATTAGGCAAGCTTATGCTTCAGATAAAGTGCTAATACTTTGGGATGTGTTGCTAGGGATGGGAACACAATATGTCAATGGACTGCAAATCCCACCAGTTCCAGCTAGCATAGGCTGATTAAGGATGAGTTGAGTTAATGTCCAGCAACTGGAATTCCATAAACACCCTACTTCTACTCTACTTCTACTCTAATCACACACCTCCAGTAGTTGTGGTAGTCACTTTGGAATGTCAGAGTCTCTTGGCCTTACTTAATGGGTTATTAACAGCCTCCGATGACTCCAAATACATACAAATTAGAATGTGTCTACAGAAAATTCAGTATGATCAGAGATGCAGTAATGAGGAAAGAGGCAAGTTAAGAATTTACTTACTTATTTGCTATAAATTATATTTCACCCAAGTGTAATTATCCCTTTTTGATAGGAAACTGGGAGAAAGGAAACACAGAAGTACTGTAGATGGTGTTTGTGATCATGGATCTTCTACCTACCCTGTCTGATCTGAGCTTTTTAGGAGAAAAATAGGATAAAACACTTAACAGAAAATTAACACATGTATCAAGAAGTACATTTCACTGGGAACTAGCCCCCCCTCTCTTTCTCTCTCTCTAAAATAAATAGAAAACATGTAACCAACTTCTGAATTTAGCATTATAGCAAACAACAGAGATCCAGAATAGCTTCTATATTGAATTCATGCTGGGCTTCTGAATTACTTACTTGAAAGACCCATCAGGGGTCGTTTCACACCTTTGTACACTGCTGTCACAATAATTTCTTGGGCATTCATTGGTCAATATGCATTCATTTCTCCCGTCTCTTTTCCTTTGCATTCCTGCTTTGCATTGGCAATTTGGCTGTGGAAATAGAAAGAAGACTAGTCACAATTCCTTAGGTTCTATGCAAGGCTTTAAAGGTAATAACCAACACTTATAAATAATAATAATAAAGTTGGAAGGGAACCTATAGATATACAAAAGGGTACCAGACAAGGTTGTCCACTTTCTCCTTTATTATTTGTATTGTCACTGGAAATTTTGTTGTCTAGAATTAGAGAATCTTCAATGATTAAAGGCTTAAGGATTTCTGCTAAAGAATATAAACTTAAAGCTTTTGCGGATGACTTAGTTTTTACATTGTCTCAACCAACTGAGTCAT